CCAACAATTTAACCCGGTGTTGTTCCACTTAATATTGAGAGGAGAAAACGTGTTGTGCGCCAGCTACCAACCCATAAACCTTCCGACTTTTCGAGGTTGATTTTCGCATTTGACGCGCGTCATAAATACGCAACCATGCAGCAAGTGATGCGAATTCTTGTTTATGTGTGATAAAAAATTCTATATCATCAGCATAAGCTGTAAGTTTACAGTGTTCATTATTGAGATGCGGTATTGTTAAACCTTTAATATTTCCATCATTTCTGATTTTATGGAGCAGTGGCTCAATGGCAATAACATAAAGGGCTGTGGACAATGAGCAACCTTGCCTAATACCACGTGACAGCATGACGGGAGGGGTGAGAGCACTATTTATACGGATAAGGGACTGAGCATTTGAATATATAAGATGAATGTAAGAAATAAACTTGTCACCAAACCCAAAAGCATGAAGTGTGTTGAATAGATAAGCGTGATTTACTCTGTCAAATGCTTTTTCTTGATCTAGAGCCACGATGCTGAGGGGAGAGTTAGTCATATTAGCACAGTCAATGCTGTCACGTAATAGACTGATGTTGTCATGGATATGCCTGTTTGGAATACTACAAGTTTGATCTGGGTGAATTATGGAACCAATGATCCCGCGCAGACGTATTGCTAGTGTTTTAGTGAAGATCTTATAATCACTGCAAATCAGTGTTTTAGTTGTGTAATATCACCTTTCTTTGGGAGTAGGGTAACAACTGCTCTAGAGCAAGAAAATGGAAACACATTTTCTTCAGTGGCTTTACTGAACACGTCACAGAGGTCTTTCCCAATAAGATTCCAAAATTTTTGATAAAACTCGTTCGGAATCCCGTCAATGCCGGGAGTTCGCCCATGCGCAAGTTGCTTTACGGTGTTAGTAAGTTCGCCATACGTAATAGGCTCATCAAGGTCATCGCGAACGGTATTACTCAGCATTGGCAGGCCCTCAAGGATGGTATTCTGTGCATCTATATCAATATTATCTGTAGTATACAACTTAGTGTAAAAGTTGCGTACTATTTTGCGGATTTCAGCTTGATTTTGTGTGAGACTGTTGTCATGACGCCTGAGCTGAAAAATAGTTTTTTTGTTTCCATTCTTTTTCTCTATTTGGAAAAAGAAAGTATTACACACATCATTTTCATTTAGAAAATGGTGCCACGCTCGTGTGATGAGACCTTTATTCTCATGTTGAACCATGTTTGAAAGGAGTCTCTTTTTTTCTATGTATGATTTTGTGGGCGGCGAATTCTGGGTGATATCGCGCTCCATAGCTCGGATGTCCCTTTCCAATGTTTGTTTTGCTTGTTTGTGTTTATATTGCTTGAATGCGCAATGCTGTTGAGTAATTAATTTTATTTTATTCTTTCCCACGTCCCACCAAGTTTGAATATGTGAATAGTTTTCACGACAAAGTTGCCATTCCAGCCAGAAATCCGTAATTTCTTTAACATATTCATCATCCTGTAAAATTTGTGTGTTCATACACCATACAGGACTTTTCTTTATTTTGTAATGTAATGTAATGTAATGTAATGAAATTCTTGCCACGTGTAGTGCAGAAAAGGACTTGTGAATTATCATTAACGTCGAACTCAATTTTCATAGAAACGTATCGTATGCAATAAACACAGCTTTATACATAATGGGAATGTTCGTATAACATTTACAGCTTTGGCTTACAGCCCCAACGATAGTTACACATGGAATACGCCAATATAATATCATCATTATAATATCGATATCGAAAAGATTCGCCAGAGACTACTGTTTGTTGAATTATTCATTATTTGCTCGACTTTCCATTAAGCTTGTTCAATTTTCGAAACACAATTTCAGTAACTTTTACTACTTTCCAGGTTACTGTATATAATTTTCCAGGTAACTGGAGACATATATATACTTTTTCGACTTTCCATCCAAGGGTTTATTACTTTTCTTAAAACGTTTTTCGACTTTCTTTCAAAATTTAATCTTTTCCTACTTTCATTTTTTTTTTATTTGACTTATCAGGCAATTTTTTTCACTACTTTTCAGTCAACTAATATTGGCTTCGCAATAACCCGTTCTTCATTCCATGTATTTTCTATGTCTTTTCTTCCAACGTTTTAGCCGTTCAATCAAAGATTTCGACTTCGCAGGTAACTTGTGTTACTTTTCAGACAACTTATATATATTTCCACACTACTTTCATTACTTTCATCTCCACTTTTTCGGCTTACCAGTCCACTTTTTTTAATAACTTATTAATCATATTTTAAATTTTAAACCAAATTAATCGGGCTTTCCATAAACTTTGTTGACTTTCCATACTACACTCAGCATTATAACTATACAATACAATACATGACTTTTATAATATTCCATCCAATTTCTTTGATTTTACTCTATGACTTTCCACACATTTTAAAACTATTAAAACTATCAACAAGTCATTTTATTCGGCTTACCAGCCTACTTTTGAGACTTAATTGTCAAATTTCTGTTAGCTTTTTATATGCATCAATCCTTTCAGGTCTTCAGCCACAATTTTTTACTTTTTTCCATCAAACTTTCTATTCAGTTTCAGTACATTTTAGGCAACTTTTATTATTTTCAGGCAACGTTTTTAACTTCGATTTTCGAATTTTCACTATTCTCCATGTAACTTTCCTCTAAACTTTTTGGATTCTTGATTAAAGTTTTTACTACGTACCAGGTATTTGTTACGACTTTCTAAACAACCTTTTTGACTCTCCAGTGAATTATGACGCTGACCAAACTGTTTCTTTTTACCAATCAACTTTTCAATTTTTAACTTATGTGATTTTAAAGCCAACTTAATCGGGCTTTCCAATCAACTATCGAACCGTTAGCATTATATTAATACTATAATTTGTCTGTACTATTTTTATTCTTCTACGTCAACTCTCATCGTTTATGATGGTTGATCCCTTATACAGCGTTTTCTTGCGCACATAACCTTCTGACCGATCTCAAGATTTACTTTGGGCTTGTCAAATTTAGCAGGCATGTCAATACAAGCATACACGAGAGCAGGCATATTAGAATTGGTTGCTAAGTACACTTTCTCCGTAGGACAGGCTCATAGAACACGCATGCGCAGATATGACTATTAGACACCTGGACATAAATAAAGATAGGAATATAACACTGACACGTGGTGATTATAGTTCACTTGAATACGTGAAAATGTGGTATTGAAAACGGTACAAAACAGACAGACAGACATATCAGGGAGATTCATGCCGAAATAAAGATTGTATGTCATCTTCTTTGTGTCTTTTTATTATTATGCGGTAATACCGCTAGGATGTATCTACAATTGAAAAATAACAAGGGCATCATCCGTACAAAAAAAAAAGTCATGAAAAAGGGCATTTTTGTTTTGTTTTTATGGTGCAATTGTTTTATTATACCTCTCATGGGATGAAAAATCGTACCGGTATATCATTTTTTATGTGAATCAAAATATTGTTAAAATATTTCATATTTCGTTGACTGCAAGATCTCGCGTATTGCGCGGACCGAACTCGAAAATCGAACGATTTTATTTTTAACTTATCCTTCTTATTCATTAGCCGAATATCGAAATGCCGATCTTTGGAGAGGGGAATGCTGCGTTGTCAATATTGTCTGTCAGCAAATGTGTACAGCACATTATTAAAGCGGTGGAGTCGTCACTTGCGCATGCGTCAGATGGCCATAGCGTGTCATTGTTTACAAACAAGCGTCTACCCATGAGCCTTTGCGTTTTTGGGTGAGTGTCGCTTGGAACTCAATTCCCGCCGCGCGCGCGCAGGTGACGAGCCTCCGGCTTTAAGAATAGAAATACCCCCAAACTAAGTTCGCGTTTGTCGACTTCCATGCGATGTTTTGAAGTCACTGTGGCGCTATGGCCTTTGTTTGTACTGTTTTACGTTCAGTTTTACGCATATCGCGGGGTATTAAAGCGGGGGAGTCGTCACCTGCGCATGCGTCACATGGCCATAACGTGCCATTGTTTACAAACAAGCGTCTACCCATGAGCCTTTGCGTTTTTTAACATCGCTTGGGACTCAATTCCCGCGCGTGCGCAGGTCACAACCCTTCGCTTTAAGTAGTTTCCAGTGAGATAACAATCTAAAAGCAACTCAACACTATGCTCCGAAATCATTGTCTCATTGTGTATTTAATTAAATCTCATTTGAAGAATTTATTTTATGTTATTCTAATAAGTTTGACAAGTTTTATTGCGCTATAAAAGTTTCTGAAAATAAAGAAAAATCCGACTGAAGATTTGGCCTAATTATAACTTAATATAATACAGTTTGGGATACCCCGCCACATATATGGTTATCAAGTTCAATACGAAGTCCAGCTCTGGGTGTCACTAAAAAGAAATTGTTCGAATTATTTGCGTACTGTTAATGCCGATACCGAATATAAGAGAAGACGCAAAGTAAAAAAGTAAAAAAGCGTGTCAATCATTCGATTTTTTTTTATAATCAGATCACGTGATATAATTTCCTCGGCTATGCCTCGTGGGGTGTCTATATTTACAAATCCTCTTCATTGACCATCTGTTGTAGCATTTTGAATGATCTTGATTGCAAACCTGGATTGGCGTAACCATGGTACCTCATTTCCTCGCCGCCATCTCGCTCGATGTATCTTTCACTGGCAGCACCGTGGTGCGGATTTGGTGAAGAGTCATGCACGGCTTGAAATACGGCAGAATGCTTATCAACAGGTCTTTGGTTCCCTTCCCTGTAACACAGAAGTGAGTGGATAAAAACACTAAGTAGTACGGTATATAAATTGAAACATCTCAATCTAATTTTCAGCACAAATGTCCGACAACATAGCATTTTTGTTTATTAAATGTATATCTTCGAACTTGGCCGAAATAATCGATTTACTATTATTCCATTAATGTGTTAACAACGTTAGATTCAGCAGAATTGGCCAACATGATGTTGTAAAACTAAATCAAGGATGTTTGAAGGACGGTGGTCGCCGCACAGTGCGTGTTCAAATTTCATCTAAACGTACAAGGTACTAGCCTGAGTATATTAGAACGCCG